ATATATATATATATATATATATATATATATATATATATATATATATATATATGGTAAACACATAATAAAGAAAAAAAATTTGTAATTTTATTAACTGGTTAATTATATTTGTAACTTTATTATTATTAATATAGTTATATTTTAAAAAATTTTTAATTATATCATGTAATATACACACATAAAAACAGACCAATAGTATTACATTTCGAGATTCTCTTTCAAATCCAATGAAATTTGCAGTATTAAATGTAGAATCAATATTTCGACTCTCGGATAACTATTGTAACATATTTTAAATCGTAGGGATCCAATGTAAAAAAATTATGCGTTCATCAAATAACGTATACGAGTTACATCTGTTCATATCTTGACACGAACCTATTTGTGTGTGCCTGTAAATATTTTACACATATGTTTATAAATTATTTTATTTTTATTATCTGTATCTATCAATTTGTCGATATACATATCAATTAATATTTATCATCCATTAATATTCATGAATATTTTTATGTATTGCTTCATAACGCATTGCTCGTTGATAATGACGAATGTTTGTCCATTTTCGGAGAATCTCACCCCTGACACTAAAAAAAATATTTTGTTGGTCTGGGTAGAATTCTAAATGTCACAGTTGAATTTATCGCTGTTTTTTGTATCTGTTAGAAAATTGTGTCTGTGATACGTGCCTAGATAGATAGATGTATGTAAATTTGGCAGTAACTTTACTAGAATCGATGTGTAAAGGTTGCATTCTCGAAATAAAACGGAGATGCACGTACTACATAACATATTCTCGGAGAATTACTTCAAATAGTAAATAATGAATCACTATAGCTGGTAATAGAGATCAAACTTTGTAATAAAGTCTGGAGTTATGTGTGTAAAAGTAGCACCCTCATGAGTGATTTCCTCGTATGACATTCATATTTATTACATACAATGACGAAATAGAAATACGAGAGATATGAAAAAGATGATCAAAGTTTGCTCAAAATAATATGTTATGTAAAATGTAATATGAACAAGTAACTTTAAGTATAAATTTTTTGTTATATCGATATAACACGTAATTTACATCATTGTATGATATAAATTTAATAATTAATTCAATATATTATATTTACCACATAAATGTCGTTAAAAAAATTGCGAAATTTTTATCATTTTTTCTCTCACATCATGATAATTATAGAAGTCTATCTGGGTAGAATTTACAGCAGCAATATTCTAACAATATCTTCAAGCAAATTTAGATGAGTGTGGGAATAATATATTTGTTTTTATCTCGTCTCTAGTCTCTTTTGTCTATCATAGTAAATTTTTATTAGAGGTACGATCTAGATGGACGCCGCAAAGGAACTTTCTTGCTAAATTTTATAAGTAGTTTAGATATTCTATCAAAGGTATTCTTTTTATGCGTCACCTCTATGTTGATTAAATAGCACAAAGATTTCCGAGTTATATCATTTTAAGCTCTAATTAACATCGCGTTTGCTCGATAATACACGATTTTAACCGCGGTATCCAGCATCAGAGCTCATCGTGGTGTATGAATTGACCGCATCGGTCATGACTATAACATCATCGGCGTCGCCAATAATAATGAGAGAACCGTTTCTTGGAGGAAAAATTCGATTGACTCGCGGGGGAATTCAGTGTCGCTCGCATAAATAAATGATCGGAGCGTGAAAAGTCGAGGGAGAAAATACACAATAACAGACCTGTAATTTTCCTCCCTTGCCTATAGAATCGGCGCGACAGATATTACACTACGACACGGGGGATTCCCTCTTTCTCTTGGCGGAGGAGTAGGGGTGGCAGGGGGGAACTTAAGCGCCGGTGTATACCGCGCTCGTTATTGCTGACTGAATTAATTACGAATACACGCGAAGAAAAAAGTCGCGAAAGAAACGAAAGCTTCTTGGCAGCGACTTGGCTGGCTGACTGGCTGGGGAGTTAGCTCGCGGTTCGCGCTCGAGCGCGGTCGAGACACAGCTGAGAACGTCCGCTGCTCGCCGGAAACCGGAAACTCGGCGAGCGGATACCAGCGCGCGTCTTGCTCCCGGCTCTTCCCCGACCTGTTTGCGGCAGGATCGAGGTGCTACTCCTGTGCGAAGAGAGTCGACGCGCTCTCTCATACTTTAATGCGCTTAATATCGACACACGTTATTGTGTCTGCGGAGTTCTTGCCGGAGGGAGAGCCGACAACTTTGTTTCAAGGGCTCGCGTTGTCCGAGATACCTGTGGATTAAGACATGGAGCGTCACCATGAATAATATCGTTCAAAGCGATGTCGCGCGAGACGAGAGCAGGCCGGCGAACGAAGCAACGGTGAATAGAGCCGTTCCGAACTTGTAGCGAGGTTCTGAAAAGTGCGCCGGTAGCGGACGCTTATAAAGCACGAAATTACGACCCCTGCGGCGAATGGCCCCGTTCGCGCGTAGTTAAGCGAAGTAAGTAAGTAAGTAAGTAAGTTAATAAGCAAACGAGGTAACGAAGTAAATGAAAACTGATCAATAACACTAGAGACGCAGCTTACCCGGCCTCAATCGCTACTAGAGGCCGAAGATACTCGTGAACGCGAATTCTTTCGTGAAAATCGACCTCTTTCTGCGGATATTATCGGAAAAGTTAATGCAGGAATTTCTCCGGTAAATACTACCGTCTAAACCCTATACTATCGCGGCCGCGGACGATCTCTCCGTCGAGGCGAGTACGTTTTCGGGAACTTGTGAACGGATACCGTGCGTAAAGATATTTCCACCTTATTCCCCGATACATCTGACGACCGATACCTTCCGTGAAAGGAAGGGGTTCCCGTCGCCGCCGTAAAACAGAAAATCTCACATCGGCAGCCTTGAGCGGCTCCGATCGATCGTAACCTTCGCCACGTCATGTACACCTCCCCCTGCCGGGGGTGGGCGAACGAGAGAGGGGAGGGGGCTGGTTTTCTCTAAAAAAACATTGTGGTTCGATTTATAGATGCCATGCTGTTCTCCCCTGAGCACTCACCCACCCACCCACCTCACGCATGCACGCACGTATGTACGCACACATGTACGTACATACGTACGCTTATTTAAATACCAAATAGACCGTTCTCTCTCCGTCGCGAATCCCGTGGTCTGTGATTTTCGTGCCGCCCCGCCGTAGTCGAGGGTCGGGATCGTCGCGTCGTCGTCGTCATCGTCGTCGTCGAGGGTGTCTTCGGGGAAGGGCTGTTGGGACGTGCCCTCAAACGAGGCATAAAATCGGAGATGAGTCTGTCGTCGCGGAGGAAGGGTCGCGAAACTGTTTCGAGCTCCACGGGGCGCATTAATCAATGCAGAAGAATAGCCCCTGCTCTCTCTCTCTCTCTCTCCCTCCCTCCCTTTCTCTCCCCCTCACTTCTCTCGATTCACCCCTTTGCCGCGCGTTCCGTTGTTAGCGCGTATAATCGCGAACGTATATATTTTGTCTGCTGGGTGAATAT